ATTTAAAAAAAACTTCGAACATTTCTAGTGAAAAGCGTACTACAATATTTCAGAGTTTTTTGCAGAAAAAAAATGCATTTGTTGAATTCTGAGTGTGCCTATCTGTGCCTGTCTGTGTTGGAATGAAGAAAAATGTCTAGATTAATGTGTCTCTGTAATATTTCTGTTTGTTGTTGGTTTCGTACCTTTCGCATGTCTTGTGGTCAGTTGTGGTAAAATGTGGCTGAACCTAAATAATATTTTTACACCTTGTACTATACCCATATTTGCGAAATAAAGTATCTTATCTTATCTTCGTATGACACGAATCATATTTTACGAATATCATAAGCGTCTTACAAATGAAATAGAATCCGAGAAAAACGCTTCCTTGTGAAATGCTGCCAAAGAGACGCTATACAATATGGGGAAGATATCTACCTGGTACCTAATCATTTAATGTTACCTATATTCATGTAGTTCTTCTAGACCTCACTAGTATAATCGAACAATAATTCGAAAAGTTATAATACATATTACTCGCTAATCCAGATTTTCCAAGCCCCTTATTTATTCATAACAGCGAAACACCACAGCCGTAGCTTTTATTGCTTGTAGCTCGTAGTGCAGACCAGCGTTGTCCCGCTATCAATCTCGTAGACGCACAATCGACGTATGTAACGTGTGACTACGCCTTTATTGCTATTGCTACACGCTCTGCGAGCTACGGCTGCAGTGTACATGTATAAAAAGTTAGGCTTATTGATATATTGCTTACGCGCCGTTAAAATTGTTAATGACAAGTATATAGGTACCATGCACCATATTATACATATGTATGTTAATCAAAGTTCTCTTGAATATCGGTTTGCTGTATGATTTAACGGCTTCTTACAAAATCCTTACAAGAAACTATGTAAAGAACTAAAAGATTTTTATGTTTAAAGCGGAAAAAGGCACACGCTAAAATTAGAATAATATAACGAAACAGTCAGGTGTAGCATCAGATCGCAGCGCGCGCGCCGCGGTGGGATTTCCCGCGCATTCCGCGCTGCGTCGCTACACTCGCGGCGCGCAGTACTGCTGCTCCACTCAATACTCACACACTACGACGTTACTTGATCTTCATTGTCGACCTATATAGTCCAAAGTATATAAACACGCCGTAATAAGTCTAACACCATTATATTGCCTATACACTTATAAATCAAACTAGCTTCCGTCCGTGGCTTCGCCTGCATGGTATGTTGATAAAAAGTAACGTATATCCTATTCCGGATTGTATCCTATGCCTGTGCCAAATTTCATCTAGATCTGTTCAGCTGTTTTGGCATGATTGAGTAACAAAAACAAACATCGTAACTTTCGCATTTATAATATTAGTAAAAGTAAGAAATAAGATTGGTCGACTAGCTCAAAAGTTAAATGTCTCCTTCGATACTGACCCACTAGTCATAAGAGAGGTCGCTTTGCAAAAAACCATAAAACAAAAAAGTTTAATGTTAGCTCAAGTTGTACCGTTTTACCTGCAATACAGTGCATGCGGAAAGTACGGGCTCATGTGCCCCTGCATATATACAAGGTATGGAGGTGAGGAAACCAGTCAGCATCGGCATTGCAATCCTACGCGACGCACGCTCTGGTAATAATGGCACCCGCTCGCTCCGCCTTCTCCCTTCTGTTCGTGCTCCTGTTGCTGACGCTGCTCCTGCGCTGTGTAACCGCGACTGTACTGGCTCCCGCTGCACTCAACTATGAGGAACTCAATTTCTCTCAAAACCAGCATATTCCAACTGTGTGGAAGTTCAAAAGGAATACACCAACAGTGGAGTCTACTGATAATCGAAAACAATTTTTTGTGAAACTCCCATGTCGGACAAATCCGAAATGTGCAGATGCTGATCGTTACCTATTTGACTTGATACGGGCTGAACCAATCCCCAGCGTGTACCGAAAATGGATTAACTATTGACGCCTTTCTTTAAAGAGCTAAGTAATAAAATCAAAACCTCGATATTATATTAGGGTAGCGAGTAGACTTTGACCTCAATCGCCGTACACAACCCGCGCGCTCGACTGCGCCACAACCCAGGGACGTTATCCTGAGCAGATACTTAATGTACTTAGATATAGTTCTGTCTCTTACATGCCTATTTATAGTACGGCTGTTTCAGTAGTTGTATCCATTGAATATTTGTAATAAGTAGGTACTGTTGATTATTGTTTTCGAGTAACGATTTCTAAATAAACAAGTTTAGTGGAGATAGTTTTATTTTCCTGTATGACTGTATAATGATAATAAACGAGAGTATGTCTTTTTACTACTCACCGTGCCTAAAAATGCTTAATGTCCATGGATAAGTCAGGTAATTACTTGAGTTGTAACGTGTATTATGAGTTTCAACTTAGCTTAAAACAATTTCTTTGGCAATTATTTTGGCAATCCAAAATCTATACGTTTAAGCTTCGTAAATGTTAGCTATTTTTAATGATACATTTTATTACGAGCTAAATCATTACGAAACGGCCTGTCAGTTTGGGGTGAATGGATAGGGGTGTGGGATTTTTACCTCACTATCGCGGTGGCTATCCTTAGCAGCACCGGGCCCTCTTATAGATCTGTTCCGCAGCCCCCATAACAGTTACATTCAGCACATCCCTAGAGTGTACCACTGTGCCACCGTCTTCGCTGAAGTCCCCCAGAGACCCCATTCCATGCGCCCGTGGCCTCAAAGGTTCGCCTGCAAGTGACGCAAGCAAGATTACGGCGGCAAGTGTGACTATAAGGCTAAGTACTGACGAAGCGATTTTCGCCCGCGTCCGAAAAGCAAATGGGGGACAGCCATGCTTCGGCAGTAATGGGCCATATGGCTAATCCTCAAAAGGAGGAACGCACTCATAACTCCTTTGGTGTTGCTGGTATCTATGAGCGGCGCCGATTACTTAGGTACTGAAACTATCAGGTAAGCAGTCTAAAATCCGTCCGAAAATTAATTTGATACAAATTAAAAAGATTTGGACGAGAACGACGAGCAATCAGATTTTCTACTCATGCCAAAATCATCTAATTTGATAACATTAAATTGGTAAAGCTTTTGTAGGTACTTAACTAAACAAAAGACAAATTAACGTGGTCTATAATATAAATTATACAAAACCATAGATGAAAATGAAAATCTTTATTCGCAGAGACATGGTAAATACAAAAGGTGGTAAAACAAAATAAGTCACTTGGCATATCTCGCCTTCAGTAGGCATGCGAAAATTAATAACATAAATAAATGTTTAAACTTACTAAGTAGGTACAGATCTATTTTCTACAATTATTATACTCCTCTATTGTATAGAAGCACTTTTCTATAAGCCGAGCTTTTAACTTCTTTTTTAAATCTTAGCAGCTTAGGTAGCTCTCTAATCTCTTTAGGAATTTTGTTATATACCTATATGTATATTTAATTACCATCATTCTACTATTTTTCTTATGTAAAGTACTTCTACATATTTCCATTCTTAATTTTGTAGGATCCCTCTTTTTAAATTTGCAATCTTCACTAACTTTGGAATAAAGTTGAAGATGGTTTCGAACAAACATTCCCTATCTCAGCTATATACATATAAGGATACCCGAGTCGTGACACGTAGTTTTTTGAAAAGTGGTCTACTAGATTCTAAATGGCCAACACCGCAAATAGCACGAATACACTTTTTTTGTACAATAAAAACTTTGTTTATGTCAGTAGAATTTACCCAGAGAACAAATCGAAAAAAAAGAGATTGACAACTTTACAGACTTTATATTGCAAAAAAAAATTTAATGTGGATTAAATTTTGTACTTTGATCTTGGTAGGTACGTCAAATAAAATCCATATTTGTCGACAAATTGCAAATGTTTTTTATATATAGTTTTCGTTTTTAGCGACTTGTTCATGGATTTATTAAGACTCTTCACTGACAGATAGGTACTATTTGGCCAACAAAGTATTCTATACTAATATTATAAAGAGGTAAAAATTTTAAGTTTGTATGTAGGGGTAATCTTTGGAACCACTGGTCGGATTCCCAAAATTCTTTCACTGATAGATAGCTAGGTACAATGTTCCCGAGTGCTATAATAGGCTATAAACAATCAAATGGAGTCGAGTAGCGAGTGAAACCGCGCGGGAATAGCTAGGCATATTGTATAAAGATAACGTACTAATCACCAACTACATAACTGCTCGCATGCCTATTCTCTTTAATTCCTTCAAAATAAGTGGTTAGTGGTTCTTCCTCAGAAGATAAAAGGCCTTCAGAATCATTTGAATTTCGTTCACGAAAGTTTTCGTTTTCAATTTACAGGCTACCTACCCAATACCTCTTTAATACTTCAATTTACTTGGTCATATTTATGATCAAGGTAGGTACAACTGTTTTACTATGGTCAAGATACCACACCCTATCCTTTTATGTTTATAGGTACGCACATTTAAATTTGAATATTCCGATTAACTCTAATAAGCATACCTACTACATTCTAAACTTTGCTAAGTACCTACTTGTTTAAATCAAATAGTTTTAAAAATGTATGTTTTGAAGTACTTAATTAGTTACTATAATTAAATATCTAACTTTTTTTCGCGAAAACGTTAAAGTGATCTCCCATGCAAACTCGATACGATGTGCGCATGCAAGTCTAATTTTAAGTTGATTATACTTCAAAATTCACTATACATACCTACATAGCCGTATTATGACGAAAATAAGGCGGATTTATTTTAAAAAAAGTGGCTCACTTTAAGTGTAAGCTTCATTTAGTATTAATAAGCAACATTTATTTATTTAGTGTAAAGTTCTATTTTAATTCAACACGTATTTACGATTAAGTGAGTTACATTAAGTTGATTTTATCATGGCATGATTGTGCTATTGTCATCTATCACAAAACCATTTCGAATATTCCGTCTTCTTAAATTTTCTTCAACAACCAATAAATTATATATTTGGTAAAATATCGTTCAATATAAGATGAGATTGTATTGTTTTGCGTTTCGTTTACTCGATCTTACATCGCACAACCAAAAAGGGCGTATGAATACGATTTAAATCGTATGGTTGGCAACACTCAGTCTGTCTGTCAGTTAACTCAGTCAAGTCAAGTTAATTCATACTTCATACCTACGTACATTTCGCACAAAAGGTCGCACGAATATTGGATTGCGAGTGTAACTTTAAAAACTTAATAACAGTAATGATGTTATTGTAGTGTTTTACTGTGTAGTGCGCTTCCAGCCCGGCCATGGGCTACGACATTGGATGGATTATACCGCGCCTGCGGAATCCAGGAAGGCTATGGAACTGCGCGAGCTCTATCACTGTTGCTGTCGTCGGTTTATTTAGTAAAATTATTTTAGGTCAGTGCAATCTGCTTTACTATTTAGACGTTTTTGTATATGCGAATCATTTATTAGTTTTTATGTTAGAAACACGTTGCGCGAATGTAAATGCGTAATTAGCATTTGGTGTGTAGTGTATAGTGTAGCAGTGGGGACAATTGCTTTACATCAGCATTTAATTAGTTACTGGTTTCTTGCAGCACACGTAACCTCACAGTACATAAATCTATATTATTCAATATCATACTTCGTAGCTTTATATAATATGTAGAAAAAATATAACCTTAGTCATAGTGTGATTCTAAATCTAAACTCACTGTCAACCCATACCCGTCATGAGATAGCTGTACACCACTTTCGTATATGATGTGGAAATAAAGTTTCCCATTACAATCTATGTGTAAGGAATGAAACATAACTGTTGCTCTTGACATTGCCTGTATGGTCAAACTGGTGTGTCTAGCAACATCTCTAGTACCTAAATTCATCAGAGGAGGCAGAGGAGGCAAACAATACCAGGTGTCAATTTCTGATTCAGGTTTTGGCATATTTTGGGGAATAAAAGGAATGTTCCCTTTATTCCCCAGTATCACCATGCCTGCTCTACAAACTTACGGCAAACACTCAATTTGAAATATTAGTGTTATGATTTTACATAATTATTTCATTTATACATTATGTATTCCTATTCTTCTTAGCCACAGTACATGTGTTTTCACAGGTTACTCTTTGCAGTCCCCAACCTCTACCTTACATTAATACATTGTAAGTAAAAAAAGTTGGAGTCATTATGGACCCCACAACACATTGGTAACAATCTGTGACATCACTTCCCTTCAAATGGAGATGGTGATGTAACACTCAACTGAAAATATTAAATGTTGGTAGTGGGCAGGCTAGCAGGCAACTTTGTTTCTTTACCCCAATTCAACATTTTAATTCACCAAGCAAACACGGATGTTCGCACATCAATGTCTTACTATTGTATCTCAGATTACCATGATTGAAGGGTTAATATTATTACACAATTTAACTGATAAATATTAATAAAAACTATTATGTTCTTATGTCTCCAATTTAAAATTGCTTCCACATTGCTTACTATTTGTATAAATTGTGTATGTTAGTGTCAGGTCCATGCTGCCCAACCTGTTTGCATGGGTAGAGGTAAAACATCATCAGCTTATAAAAGCCTACTGCTGAGAAAAGGCCTTCCCAAACAGAAGAGGGTTGTTATTTATTATTTATTTATATGTATAATTCCAACTCACAATATCTTTCGCCATTTGTCATAGGCATTTCAACTTAAAAAAACAGTTAAACTCATAAAAGTCACATCACCACTTTATGTACCTTCCTAATAGTGATTAGGTTTGATACAAATAATGTAGCTATAATATTAATAAAACCATGTCAGATCATTAAGGGTGATAGACATTAAGTTGATATGTTGATAAGAATGCTGCTTATCATATTTGAAAATTCAATTGAAACAGATAATGTTTGCTTTATTGAAATGATGGTACAATTCTACACTTAATTTTTGTTGATTTTTTTCAAGCAGTAACTTCACAATGACTAAAAATTGTTTCAAGCCAGTTTCTTTACAACTTGAACTTAATTAAAAGTTAAAATCATTCCAAGGCAATACAAAAAAAAAAAACTACAAGTACAAACTAAACTAATCTCTAAGGAATCTTATGTGTTTCCATTCAACGGACAGTAGAAGGATATTTTGAATAAGAATAATTAATTATTAAAGAATCCTACAGCTCCCAACTAGAAATAATAAAAGCAAATAGTAAAATTTTAATTTTATAACAATTGTCCTTGAATGTATACTGCTCTAAATAAATCAAAGGTTAAGTTTGCAACACTTAACCTTAAAACTATTAATTATTTATGTTATTGTATTCTAGCACCAGCAGTAGCACCACTTGGAAGTATTGATTTTTTATGTAATAAGTTGGCAAACAAGCAGACGGATTACCTGATGGTAAGCAATCAATGGCCGCCAAATGGACACCCCCAACAACAAAGGAGTTAAGAGTACCTTTTGGGGATTAGGGATTTGGAGATTTTGGGGAAGGATTGGGCCTCCGGTAACCTCACTCACAGATCGAAACACAACGCTGGGGTTGTTTCACACTGGTTTCCTGCGAGGCCGTGGTATCACTCCAGTCGTATGTAAATAACTAGCGAACCGCGCAGCTTCGCACGACATGCTGATACAATTTTTTTAGTCAACATAACCTTCCTCTTCTATTTCAAAAACGTATAAAATCAACTGTTTTATACTATGGAGTGAAAATCAATTCCAGTTTCCTTGTTTCTGAAATTCAATTTATTTTTTCGTTTTTGTGGTTGTCAGAAGAAGGTTCTTTTAAGAGCTAAGAAAATTGGCATATAACAACAATGGGATATTTCAACCATTTCGATGTTGTGGGCGTTTCATAGTATCAAATCAGTCAAAAACTATGAAGGTACATAGGTACCCTCAATGGGAATAAAATATGTCGATATAACCAGTAGTTACTCTGTACATGGGAATAGGAATAATTTGATAGATTTAAATATTTTTATTTGATTATTATTTTCCTACATGGCGCCACATCAGTTCCCAACTACTGTACTAAGCACTATTATAAAGCACAAACTTAAATTGAATTTACTGTAATTATCTATCCCACAACTGATAAAGATAATGACATAATACAAGTGTTGGATGCTGCTGTATTATTTCACACAAGAAAAAAATAAAATTGAATAATAATAACAATGATTTATTATTCGATAGAAGACTTACGTCAAGCAAAACACAAATAAATAGGTACGTGCGCGTTAAATCCCGTTAAACAGTAAAGTATCCATAGAAGAGTATGATAGTTACCCGATAATAACATCGGCGGCCTTCGACAGCTTTAAAATAGTAACAATTAGGTATGTTAATTAAACCCTACATGTCGTTTACTTATTTTTATTTTCGTAATTACCTCATTTTTCCTTGCCCATTCATGGACAATCATTTGGTCTTCTTTATAAGACCACCAAGTTGTTTGTGCATTTTAATAAAATGTCTTATAATAGAAACCTTTCAATCATGGCAATTCGAGTCACTATAGAAGAACAATAGGTGCACGAACGCCAGCGCTCGCTTGAGGTTTGATGACCTTTTGTTCACTTAGCAAGCAAAATATATTATTTAAAAATTGTATACTTGTTTTGTGAACAAACAAAAAACCCTCTTATATATAGAAATTCTGAATTAATCCACTATGTTGTTTTAATGTGGTTAACAAGTATTTATTTATTCTCTATGCTACAACATAACATTACATAAGCAGACCTCATGTCATAGGCATTCTCACCAGTCAACTTCAGGGTGATGCTGAGGGAGTATGATACAGAGCAATTAAAAAAAATGTATAGTATTGTACTTTTTATGATGATGGTTCTACCAACAGGCCACTCGTATAAGCAATATAGGCAGTGAGCGATTAGTCACGGAATGGCGTATGTGTTGCAGAGTTCCTGAACAAGACTACGGTGTACAACCGCGAGACGCTGGCGGCCGCGGTGCGCCGCCCGCGCGGCCAGCCCCTGCTCACGGTCTCCAACCACCACTCCTGCTTCGACGACCCCGGCCTCTGGGGTCAGTCAACTCTCTCTATGCCGATTTACGCCCTCCGTTAATAACTGATCTTATTCCAAAATGTGTGGGTTAAGGTAGATCAATACTTGTGTGGACTTTCTGGGCATAAACAGATCGGTCCAGAGATTTTTGAATAAGATCCGTTATTCATTTTGACCTTTACCAAATACCCAAACAACCAACTGGAGTGGGTACCTACAGGTACTTGCATCTAGACAAGTAATTAACATTTATAATACAGTTATAATCCTGGTAGTTACTATGAATTCAACGATTCGGTCGTTCTCGGGCTGTATATAGGAGACACTTAGTTACAGTAGCACGCTTCCGTTTCTATGAACCATGACCTAATTGAGTTGTAGAAAGTACTTACAAGTTTTCCCTGGAAGTATATTTTATAAATAATTTCCGAACTTATGCGGAAATATTTGTCCAATTTGTTATGGTTGGAAAGTTATTTAATTATAGCTAACAGGTATGGCAGCAATAACATACTAATATACCTCACTCCTTATCACTACATACACATCTGCTTATAATAAATCGAATAATGACATTCTCATCAAGTTGATAATGTCTGCCCATCTGATCAGACAGATGCTGTCTAAGATAGTACCTAGTAGAAAATGTTTCTTAATTTATTACTCTTTTCTTTTTCACTTTTTTAAGAATTGTGAATATGTTATATGCAGAACCAGTATGAAAGTGCACCGAAAATGTTTAAAATAAAGTTATCTCGTTTGATACGTCCAAATATGAGATAAGCAAGCCAAGCGTGTGTACAGGCGTGCTGGACCTGGCGAGCCTGACGCGTCCGGCGCGCATGCGCTGGTCGCTGGCGGCGCACGACATCTGCTTCACCAACGCGCTGCACTCGTGCTTCTTCGCGCTCGGCAAGTGCGTGCCCGTCGTGCGCGGCGCCGGCGTGCACCAGGTCAGTACCCGCCCGGTGGGCCCTCTGTCGGCAGTAGCTCGCCGTCCGCAGAGCCTGATTGAGCCCTCGGCTTGCAGCCGGCGATGGACTTCTGCGTGGAGCGGCTGTCGCGGGGCGAGTGGGTGCACATCTTCCCCGAGGGCCGCGTCAACGTGAACAAGGAGCACATTCGCTTCAAGTGGGGCGTGGGCCGCCTCGTGGCCGACTGCAGCGCCGCGCCGCTCATCGTGCCCGTCTGGCACGAGGGTATGGACGCCGTGCTACCCAACACCGAGCCCTATCTGCTCAAGTTCCGGAAGCAGGTCTTCCTCAACGTGGGCGAGCCCATCCAGATACACCACCTGTTGGAGAAGTAAGTGGCGGGCCCGGACTGGGTGTTGTGCTTTCCAACTATAGACCACAGGCTGCGAGACTAGTATATTTCAGCTACTTTCATAGCGTCATGTTGTATGGAATTTGTTGTGGGGACACGAATCTAACATTGAGTCTATATTTATCTTACAAAAGTGTGCCGTCAGAACAATCTGTAATTTAGGCCGTCTCTCAGAGAAAATTTTTCGTTTTATGTATGTTAAAAATAACCTACAGTTATTTTTAAAGTATCTGACAAACAACTATCAAACTAGACTAAGTGATAGATTATGTCAATTTAGCTTTGGCAAAGTTCACTCGTCTTTCGTGGGATTCTGTATTAAATGTTACAACAAAATCCCAGGCGAAACATAGCAAACTGATTAAAATGAGTAACGATCGAGTTTCTCTTATGGAGAAGAACGGACGACGACTTCATAAGAACACTTGACGAGGAAATAGGTTCACTAGAGGACAGACGAACAGATTGACAGACACACACACACGGTCGGCTAGCAAAGAATGCAGAGAGTGTCCCCGGCAGGTTGCGCAGCGCCAACGCGAGCGAGGAGGAGACGCGCGCGGCCATCACGGCGCGCATCCAGGACGAGCTGCTGCGTCTGCGCGACGCCACGCGCGCCCTCATGCAGCGCGCCGCGCGACCTCGCGCGTCCGCGCGCGTCTCCAACGGCGCCGCGCCGCAGCCCGACCGCGACTCCGACCTGTAGCCCGACTGTCGGCGGGCCCGAGGACTCGTGTACTCGTGCTGCGACCGACTAGTCGCAATGTCGAGTAGTTAAGTGTTTATTAGTTGATACGTAGCGGGCGGCATAATGTAAGTTTTATTACGTGGGAATGTTTATCGGTAAGGTTAAGGTGTCGTGGCAACGTGTTCGTGTATGTGTGTAGTGCTAGCTCGCGGCGGCTGCGCTTTTGTCGACGTCGTTGGAGCTTCTATTTTATAGTTACTCATTTCCGAAAATCATTTTATAACAAGTTTTTGGATAATTTTACACCAGTTTACCTAGTCCGTATCATTTATATCGCGTAGGATAACAATTAGCATCGGTGTCTCTCAGTGCCAGCCAGCGTCAATTATTAGGGACATTCAAGTTGCTCAATTATACAAAGTAACTTTTTAAATAAATTACATACTATCTTATTCCACAAGTGACGAGTTCCACATAATTAGAAATTTTGAATGCTTAGCCCCATAATGCCATGAAATAGCATTATTTATTTTAGTGTGTCGATATTTATGACGCTTTGAATAGCCTGAATGCCCCTATAGTTTGACGCTGACTGGGCGCCGGGCGGCGCGCCGTCGTTCCAATACATATTACTAGATATCGTAAATTGTGATGAGAGATTAATACAATGGCTACAGCCATCTCTACAACCAAAGACTGTTGCACACAGAGTGTACATAATATATCCAAAATATTTTTAAACAAGTTTATTAAAAATAATCTTTTAAATGACTATATTTTCCGCGAAAATGTAAAGTTTGAAGAGATTTCATTTTGGAGAAATCGGTTTGGTATTCCTAAGTGCTCCGTTGTAAAGGTCTAGCCGCACGTTCCGTTCACAATGTATTATTCCGATTGTCCGGGAGTGAAACAGCCCTACTACAGTGGTTTCGCTATCGCCCGACTCCGTCAGTAACTAATCAATGTAAATAAATAATGAGGCGACATACATCCGCGACTATTGGTCGATCTCCCGCTGTCAGTAAGCCAGTCAGTCTTCCGTGCGATAGTTTATCTATTTATTGTTAATTTTATAAGATTTTATGAGTGTGCTCAGGCGCCACCTTGTATATAAGTATGTATCGTAGTTAGTTGCTCTAGTATTGTTGTGTTAAGCCGTAACATAATCATGTTCTGTTGTCCAAATAAGTATGATGTGCTTTTTGAGGAATTAATTTTTTCAAAATAAATCGATGGACTTACAATCGTCTCTTTGTTCACCCACGACGTGACTCTGCACACATGCGCACTCAACCTGCCAAACTGATCGGGCATCATACACTGTTTCAATCCTTGCGGTACTATAATGAGGCCTCGTTTACCGAGACCTCGTGTTAGCCCTGCCTACTACAACGGATGCGTCTACTCCACCCGCACTGCGCCGCTCTGCAGTCTACTTACTCTATGACCCCTATTTTGAGCAATAATAATAAGATTCCAAAGAACGCGGTTACTTGAAAAGTTGATAGTAAATGCGCTGCGCGCCGGCGCGTAAGCTATCTTTGATCCGCAAAGCATACATAATGATTGTACAAAGTAGAAGTAGGACCAGCCCGTACTGTACCGGGCGGCTACTGACGCGTAGGTTGGCGGCAGCAGAGGATGCTGAAATAGATGGAAATTTAAAATCTTTTATTTTAATTGTCGTTTGGTCGTACAACACAGGATAGTGAGGCATCGAATGAATAAAAAATATGTTGGATGTTATGTCATTTATAAATAATGATTTTATATTTAACGTTAAAAACAAGAAATGCATGGTACATACTTTTTGAACCGGCCAGGTCACGTCAACTAATATTAAAACACTTAACGAGTCAGTCGAGTCGGTCGCACGATTGGAAGCTTGGGCCGGGCGGCGGTCAGTCGGCGTCCGTGGCCAGGTGCAGCGCCAGCACGGCGCTGGCCCCGAAGGGGGGGCGGTACTCCACCTGCAGCTCCTCGAACAGCGCCGCCGGCACGCACACGTTGGCCAGGTACTGCGCGCCCAGCGACGGCGCCAGCGCCGCCGGCAGCCCGCCCAGCACCGCCGCGCGCGTCGCCAGCCCCTCCCAGCCCGCGCACGGCGGCTCCAGCGCCACCAGCGCGCCGCGCGCCCGCGCCGCCCAGCCCAGCGCCGCCGCGTACTGCTCCTGCGCCTCGTCCAGCTGCGGCTCGTACAGCGCCAGCAGCACCACGTCGGGGCTCGGCAGGTCGGCCGCCTCGCGCGCCAGCGCCACGCCGGCCGGCGCCAGCGCCGCCAGCTCGCGCGCCAGCGCCGGCTCGGGCTGCGGCGCGGGCGCGGCCAGCAGCGCGGCGGCGCGCGCGCCGTGGGCCGCCAGCAGGCGCGCCGCCTGCAGCGCCACGGCGCCCGCGGCGTGCGGGCCGGCCAGCGCCACCACGGTGGGCGCCTGGTGCGCGTTGCGCGGGTCCAGGCGCCGCCCGCCGCCCGCCAGGCGCAGCGCCACGTCGGCGGCGGCGCGCGCCAGCAGCGCGGCGGCGGCGGGGCGCAGGCCGGCGCGCGCCAGGCCGGCCCAGAGGCGGGCGCGCAGGCGCGGCGCGGCGGCGGGCAGCAGTAGGCCGGAGTCGGTGACGTAGTCGGCGGGCCCGCGCAGCGCGTCGGGCAGGCGCAGGGCGCAGCGGGGCGCGGGGGGCGCGCCGCCCAGCACGTTCTCGTCGTGCCGGAACTTGCCCACGTCGTCGGCCTGCCGCACTACGTCGGGCTTGTGCGAGTTACGGATCTGCTCCCACAGGGCGCGCTTGTTGAACAGAGCGAGGTTGCCCTCGAAGTCGAAATCGTCATCGAGCGCGGGGTCGGCGAGCTCGCCGAAGCAGGCCTCGTTGCGGCGCCTCGCCTTGTCGTATACGTTACCGAAGCCCCCGCCGCCTCCGCCGCGGCTCTTGGGCGTCGAGCTCGGGTTGCCGTAGCTTCCTGTCACAAAACCGATACTGTTACACTACACTCACATTGTTCCGAGGCCATAGCTTACCAGACAATAAAAGGAACATAGCAATTACGTTTTTGTTCTGGTTGAACCATTTTTTAACTCCGAATGAGGCAATCGATTGCAAAACAAACTTCATCGAAAAGCTTCAACGCACAATACAGAAAATAGTTAATTTTTAGTTTATACCAGCGCCCCGCCCCGGCTTAGTACGGGTGCAATGCTGATACTAAATTTCTCCAACTGCTTTATGGATCTTGTACTTTTAGGTACGTCTGTCCATGTCGCGTGGACCACTTGTAAAAGGAGAGGGTAAAGGGAAGGTGCACGCACATATACTGATTTCTATCATTCTTTTTATAGAATAGATGATAAGTGAGAGTATTATAAACGTAAGAGTAAACAAATGTAATCAGAATGCTCCGAACTGCTAAGCTCCGTTTTATTGTGAGTCAACCACAAAAGATAGACATACTGTTGTAGGATATGTTGTACATATTTTTATGTAGACAAACAATATTCCCGTCATACATAATTTCTATGTTACTTAAACCATTAAAATTAAAGGCCGCACACGCGACGGAAGCTAAAATACTTCTCCCGATTTGCCAACATTTCCCTTCACTGCTCTGCTCCTATTAATTGTAGCGTAATGAAAAGTATCCTATAACCTGCCCAGGAATATAAAGAATAATTGTACCAAGTTTCATTAAAAGTTGTCAAGTACTTTTTGTTTCTATAAGGAACATATAGACAGACAGACAAACAAAAATTTTACGATTACATTTTTGGTATCAGTATCGATCACTAATCACACCCTGGTAGTTATTTTTTGAAAGTATATTTCATGTAAAGAATTGAACACTACAGATTTATTATAAGTATAGATGACTTACAACCTACATGGATGTAAAAACAAGATAATTGAAGTTAGCTATCTTTATTTAGTTCGCTTGACTATCGTACTTTTTTGCCACTAGACTCCTAATGATAATATAATCGTACCCCATCGTATATATATAGAAGTAACAGATACTTATTAGATACAGCGTGCTCATATTACGCCTAAGCTAATACATCTTCAGATTAATCTAATATTAGTTGAGTCATTTTGTGGGCAAACTTATTTTATTTTACTTATTTACCCCTGTGCATCGCTCGCGCCGCCATCATACAAACATGGCGCTTATTAACAGTTTTATAACATTATACACATTACACTCAGCAGCTGTTATTGTGGTAAACACTTATGAAACAAAATACAATTAGCATAAATGCTGAGTATTTGGTCTAGTTAGTCATGTCACGGTGTCGTAATCGTACTCTGGCTCCGCACCATGGCGACGACTAAGGCCGGGCGCGAGAGGTCGCTGCCACCAACAATTTTACAGAGGACACGGCGGAGCTCAGGCCAAGCAGGGCACACCGCTATGCTCCACCTATGTATTTTATTTAATTAAGCTAAACCTCAATAGAGAGGCTTCGTGGTGGCCCGGAGGTTAGGGCGGTCGTTTCCCATTCCGGATGCGGGTTCGAAACCTGGCAAATACCAATATGATTTTTCCGAGTTGTATTACGTACTTTCTATGATTATTTAGACACCACTGACAGATGGTGAAGGAAACCATCGTGAGGAATCCTGGATTTATAATTTCTTATTATTAAGGTTTGAAATCACCAATGCTCAAACCTTTTCCGAATAAAAAGGGATCTTTGCTCAGCAGTGGGCACTTATAGGCTGGTGATGTGAAACCTCAATAGTCGAAGCTAAAGTGTATTGAAAACAAATTGAGATCAAGTTGGCACTCATATGACTGCTACTATCGGTTAGAATGTAGGCCGTTTCATTTCAAACTAGCTTCCGCTCGCGTCGCGAATAACAAACATACTATCCATACATTCTCACAAACTTTTACATTTATAATGTAAGTAGGATAATATTAGCTAACGCTACATTTACACATACATTTTTTCTAAATTTGCTCATAAGGAATTAGCTGATTTGAAAATTAACCGATTCCGTGCGGAGGTCTTTGTAGCAATCTTTAGTGCCTGGCGTCGAACAAAAATTCCGTGATACCTGTGGGGCACCAAGCGCCAGAGACTTTCATGATTCCCCGGGGGAATCATCCGCCGTAAATTGTAACTTTTAGCTTTTTTCGTGTTTCCACTTGCTAAAGAGTCATTTGCCATTGGGTATCGAACGTAAACGCTCAGTGAATTAGTTCAGTGCGTGTAAAATTAACTATCTGTGTGTTTTTATGGAAATAAAAGGTAAGTGACTAATTTCTATCAGGGGTTGTAAACCTTTTTGCATTATTTTATGAATTTATTTATTCACAAGTGTTCTATAGAATTTGTTTTCGTACCATATCATGTGTTGTGCCAAAATTTGAAAGCACTACCACCAAAGCATCGGAAAAATTACGCGCCGACGGTAGGACTAGGTGTATGACCTATGACGTGACATTAACACTTCCATTGTAAGTTAACGGGATTTTTAAATGTCTATAAAATTTAAAATAGTTGATATATTGTCATGAAAAAAAGAATTGTGTATTATTTTATATTCACATAGAATTTACTGCGACAAAGGTACAATCAATTTCGCATACCCAGTAACATTCTCCATTTTCGGTCTGCGATCGTGTGTCTCATTCACACGTTAGCATTGGTGTCAAAGTCGTATCGAGTATGGACAGTCAAAGAAACAGACATTCCAGAAAGTTGGCTGTTAGAAAAAATTTATAATCAATAATAAAATGGGAGTCGACCACTAGGTTTTCAACCCCTGAAGTCTGCTAATTTACGAAAATACTTGAAACGAACACTGTGGGCATGATATGGGTGACAAATAAAGACACATTTATTTACAGGACTTTTGGCAAATATCGTTTTAGCCGAGTTTTTTATATATTTACATGGTGCCTGTGCGGCATCATCCGCACGGAATCGGTTAAGGTATGAAAAAATACGAAATTTAATCTTACAGATTTGCCCAGTTCGAGTTTGGAAATTAAAAAGAAGACCTTATTATTCTTCGATTCTTACGTCTATAATAAATAAACTAGCTAATCTCGCACGGTTTCACCCACCGCTCAGCGCCATTTGATCGTAGCATGATGTTTTATAGCCTATAGCACTCAGGAACATTGTAGCTATCTATTAGTGAAAGAATACATCTATAGTATAGATGTATTGTATATATAAATGCGAAAGATAAGATGTTTGGATGTTTTTTACTCGTCCACGCCAAAACAGCTGGACGGATCTGGATGTAATTTGGCACTGGCATAGAATATACTCCGGAATATGACATAGGCTTTTTATCAACATACCATGAGGGCCGAAGCTAGTTGCAAATAATTGTGCTTGTTTTGCGATTTTCCACATTCTAGGTGACAACTACAATCGGGAATCTAAAAAATGATATAAGCACAAAGGGCATATCATTTGACAGAACCTTATATTTATTCTGAAATGCATGCTCCACTTATTTGCAACATCTACTGTATTTCCGCTCTGTGGTTCACTCACCTAGCACAGCGGCGAATCCATAACTAGTAATGATGATCATGATGATGGCATGGCATGACTATTTATAAGTGATACTGTTGTCAGTTCAAGTGTCCATATCTTTAAAGTGGTTGCAATAGTTAGCATGTGTACCGGCGTGCGTGTTGTTCTTGTTGGCGCGCGCCTGGATGTCGATGGGCTTGCTGCGGGCCGCGCGGCCTCCCCCTGCTCCGCCCCCTGTCCCGCCCCCGCCGCCTCCTCCTCCTCCTCCTTGGCTTGTGCTGCCTCCTGCCTGGTTACCTACATAAACAAGTATAACATTTCAATGATGTCTCCAACAAATGTTCAAATTATAATACATATAAATTCAAATACATACAAACTACAAGTGCTAATAATAGAATAAATGACAAAATGTACAGATAAAAATATGACCGAATAAGAAAGAAAGTAAAAGATTTGTGAGGAAGTGGGACGTGGATTTAGCTGAAGAAGCATGTAATGAGAATTAATGCTGTAGAGATGAGGAAATCCTGTCATTCATCCCCTCATAGAATCTAATACATTCATGACACAAATATTTTAACAAAATCACATTGGCAATCCATATCAATAGCCATCAAACTAGGACACAATCCTAGTGAGGGTGACATTAAAAAAAAGATCCCAACACTCAGATACATTTACTTTCTAGACTCCTGGAAAGTAACTTAATCTTTATTAATTTTATTGTACCATACTGCCCATTCAATTTTCTTTGAGATATTTTTTTTCACATTGCCTCTACTTCATTCACAGTTAGTAGGGTACCCTGTCCCTAACTAGGTATATGAAATACCCACAAGTTTTTATTTTGTATAAAATCATCACATTGATACATTTTACAATATATATGTAAGCTTTTTTATGAATGCCATTTATAGTTTACCACTACTTAATATTCATCACAACAATATCCAGATATAGTCTGCAAAATGACCACAATACTCAAGTCTTGGTAGTAGCCAGTGTTTTACAGAGCTTTGTACACCAGCAACAGTGTATAGAATAAGATGGATGAACCCATATTTGTGATAGAACTTACCTGAACTTGTTGGATTTGCTTGCAGGTTTTCACAGACAGTAGCCCTTTGTGCTTTCTTAGCACTTTTAGTTACAGCCACTGTACTATGGGTCTGCTCAGCTGGTTCCGCGCGGGACTCTATTATCTTTAGATCTTTAATATCAGCTGCACTGTAACACGATACCAATACAAATAAGTTTGAAATCATAATCTACCTCTAAATACTCTAAATCATTATTATAACGTCAACTTACTTAAGTGTCACTTGTGCTTTAGGGTAAGGAAAGCCATTTCTGAAGGCTTTCGTTAATGTAATTGTGTTTCCATCCGCCTCCAAAATTGTTCCTTGGTAGCAGCCTAAAGGCTCACCACAATTCACCGATATAGCATAACCGACCCAGTTGGACATATTTTACAAAAATCTGATTCAATCTCCCCAATTTTAATTTGTTAGATAGCTTCAATTGTACTGCATCGATAAGTTTAACTTTTCCACTTGACATTTAAATTAAATAACTTTCATCTTTAATTAATTTTAAACGAATTATACACTTATTAATTCGATGAAATATTTAAATCAAACAAAATCACAAATTGCACTTTGTAGTGACACAAAACACCATGTGAATCCGGAATCGTCACAAGCTGACATTTGACACTCTTGACAGATCATATCAAAGAGTTAATAAAATTATATTATTGTAGTCTATTGACTAAGTTCTCTGGACCATTGAGATAGTAAGTATGTCAATGCTCTGGACGCAAAACCGTTTTTTAGTACCAACTCACATGATCCCCCATTTGCAATGGAAAGAAGGCAACCCTGAAAATAGAAAATATAATATTAAATTTTAAATTAATATCATGTCATAGTTATTGTATTGTCATTTTGTACATTCATTTTTACTATGATACTGTTTAAATAGGGTAATCCGTCCATTAATAGATAACTAGCTTACGCCCACGTGGTATGTTGATAAAAAGCAGCCTATAGCAAAAATAACAAAATGAAAGTATATATAAAATTAGGTAGATACGTCTCATTTTTATTTACTTACCTATTAAAACTTTGTACAATTAAATATACAGGCGGAATTAATGCCTTAGGCATTGTCTAATAGTCAACCATTAATTGATGAAGAGATAAAAGTAGAAGGTGTCATAAGTTAATTAACAGTAAACCTATAATGAGATATACACTAATCACTCCATAATAATAAATATATCCGCAAGGCAGTTTGTGGCGAGCTGTAAGTTAGTGGCGACCTCACGGACCTGACTCCCGGAAGGTGTCTTGTTGTTCATCTCCGGTTAGTCCTCGTGACTAGCTGGAGTGAACACTAATCAGTGACAACGTCTTTTACCTCATGCTTGTCTTAGGTAATTGGCTGGCTTGAGTGGAAATTCGCAAAAGTAGGAGTTGAAGGAGACTCAAAGAAGGATTTATCTCAGTAAGATGCTGGTAATGGTCTTAACCGTACTTCCGAGATTGCTTTGATGGGATGCCTCTCCTTCCCCAAGCAGCTCAACGTATGTTACCTCCGTGTCGCTACATGCTAGCAGCCGTTTCCGGGGGCTTGCTAGTCACCCCCTGCCTGTCTATCCGTATGTATCAATATTTTTTATGGGCAGGGGCCATAGTATTTCCATAGATATCAAATTCTATTCCACAGCAACCCATATCCATATAATCAACCATATTGCACAATTATAGTCCTGCATCAATCGGGGATTGTCCTTGGGTGCACTTTGTAGTGCATACAGGCATAATTGCCAGTTGGTCTCTGCGAGTTGGCTTTGGCCCCTCGTAAGCCTTCCAAAGGCCCGGGATCCTATGATATCGTGGAATGAACAAACAAGCAATAATATGAATATAAAATATATAGATTCATAAAACTATAATGCTCATGCCAACAACACCTCAAGTTTGCAAGTTATTTTTCCTTTATCTTATTTGCTAGGGATTATAATTTTTTGCCAGATCTCTACCATCCATATTGTTTGTTAAGTCAATGTCAAAATGTCAATTATTAAAACGTCAATAGACAAGACAGACTCTGACAGGCAATAAGACATTAGACAAACGCGAAACGCGATCTAAACAGCGATGTTTTAAAAATGTTCAAACTTCAAATCTTAGAAAACTCAAGGAAAACAGCAATTCGAATGTAGCGAGTTTCCAGCTGAGGTAGCCAGTGAAGTCACTGGCCGTCTGAGCGAATGGAGCTCTGCTTTGTTTCATCTGCTTATAAAAAAAATTGCTTAAAACATAAAAAGGATAAAAATATTCAAAATGGTAAGTGGTTAATTACCAAATTTTTCTATTACAACAATTTACACATATTTTAATTTTCACTTAATAAAACTAATATACCTAGATGATTTAATAATACTAGGTGTACTATAGTAGTAGTGTAGTAGTAGTGTATACATTGGGCAAATAATTGTGTTAAGTCTAAAAGCATTTCTTCCATAGGAAGTAGATTGACTATTTCGCCATAAACAGCGTTCGTTATAAACAAACAGGTTTCTGTCAAGAAATAAATTAACATTTAGTAAGGAGTTCCCACGTTGAACTAGTAACTGGGTTGACCTTCACTGATTAATGTGCTTGAAAACACAAGACAAGTCGAAATTCAATTATGTGAGAAGTATTGTTTAGTTTTTGAATGCTGTATTAATCAACTAGCTATTGTCGCATGGTTTCACTAGCTGGTTGGCTTCTACATATTGTAGTGTGATGTTTTATAGCCTATAGCCTTCCTTGATAATTAGACTAAGAAACACAAAAAATATTGTTTAATTCAAACCGGTAGTTCCAGAGCTTAGTGTGTTCAAAGAAACAAACAAACTATACAGCTTTATAATATTAGTATAGATTTGAAATAGACAGCAAAAATTTCCAAATTTTTCTTTAAGTTCCAAACTGTTTATGCAGTCACAATTTGTACAGTTATACAGGGAATGTTTCTTGTTTTGTAAATATGTAAACCTATAAAATTCAAAAATTGAAACATTTTGCTATCTACAGTGCACTTATGATTACTTATACCTCTTAATTTCCTCTTTAACAAATACCAACGAAAACAGAGAAACTCGCTGGTTCTCTAGCAGTTAATATGAGACTTATTATTAATACTCACCTGTGTCATGTGCGCTGATAGGGTTGCCAACTATACTGTTAAAAACAGTATTATACTGTTTTCACCATTAACACAAAATACATACTATAAGTGTCATTACAACATTATGTGCACATACAATATTTCAAACTTGAACTACGCTCACTCACTCAGTCTCAGTCCAGTGCAGCGCAACTACAAATAAACACAATAATGGCATTCTGAACAAATCTATAAATGTCAATGTAAAATATTCAAGAGAGGAGTGACAGGACTGATTTCTCCCGCCCAGGATAAGGCGAGAGAGAGTGTCAGACTCTACACTAGACAAAAAATCCTGCTCTGGGCCGAGGCCGCGGTTCCTCATTGCGCTTGCCCCGCAACCTCGGCTAAACACCAGCCCTATAGGGCCGTCTGTCGTCGTCTATTGCCTTTTTTGAAGCGCACGCAGAACGCTACGCGCCGTACGCTTAGGTCTGGTTCTAGGTTTGCTAAGCCGTTTGCCGTCCGCAGACCCGCGCTTACGGTGGCCGGAGATCGTCTCTCGATCATCGATGCCCGGAGTGTCACCTATTTATTTATTTATTTAAACTTTATGCAACAAAACATTACATAGGCGGACTTAATGCCGCCGCACTCTGACCTGTACAAAGCCGGACGTAAGGTTGCCGCCTTATGATCCACTGTGTCCTTTGAATGTGTTTAGGGGAATCGTCAGATTCCTTCCCTCGCCTCAGGCTGGGGCCGCGGCACATTATTGCACTTGACTCACAAGCTGGGTTCAACATCAGCTCTGTTGGGACCCATATGTGGGGGTCGATTGGCTCCTCGGTCTGGTTCTGTTTGGGCGGCGAGCTACCCTTGGCCTTATTGTGAGCCAAATCTGATATTATAAAGAGGATACTAAGATTACTACTTGATTTGCGTATTTTAGTCGATGCCAGGTTTAAAAGTTGCTATTGCAATCCCGGGATACATTAAAACGCGCGTGAAGCTGCGGGCGGACACTATATTAATAAAGCTCACAATTGTATTTATTGTGCAAGGAATCCTTGCATATTTCCTATTAATAATAGGAAATATTTCGGCAGGCGAGTATGAAGTTCGTGAAAGAGAACAGGCCAGCACAGCCCCCGCTGTCCGTGTGGTGGATAGTGGCGGGGCTCGCGGCCAACGCCGCGCTGCTGGCGGGAGTGGCGCTGCTGGATGCCGCGCTGCCCGAGCCGCTGGGGCCCTCCGCGCCTCCCGAGCGCTTCCACGGGCTCACGGCACACCGCCATCTCACCAATCTCACAGCAATCGGCCCAAGGGTGCGTCTACTTCGCCTTTGCGAGGAGCGCCCAGTCGCCGGTGTCACAGCTCTCTCTGTTCTGTTGCAGGTGGCAGGCAGCTATGAGAATGAAGTGCTGGCGGTGGGCGTGCTGGTGGCGGCCGTGAAGGACATCGCGGCGCACGCCTCCCCGCACAACCGGCTCGAGCTGGACGTGCAAACCGCCAGTGGAGCCTTCGCGCTCTCCTTCATGGACGGTGTGTGGCGTGAGGTGAAGTGAGTGGCGGCAAGTGGACGTGGTAGTGACGCGCGCGTGTTGCAGGTATGAACAACGTGTACCGCGACGTGCAGAACGTGGTGGTGCGCGTGCGCGGGGCGGGCGGCCGGCCCGCGGGCCGCTCCGCGCTGCTCCTCAACTGCCACTTCGACACTGTGCCTGACAGCCCCGGTAAATACCCTCCGCCTGGAACTATTATATGAACATAACCAACATGTTACTGCAACGTTAACGCACATACATAAGTAGTGGTGAGACTGAAGTCGAGCGCTACAGAACGGCCCGGTTTCATACTGTTCGCAGCACGCGACACAACACCACATTGCCCTTAGGTAAACGTTCGGGCGCGAGTGGTGCGACGCGACATCACAGTAATGTAAATACGTTACTGTTACATTGCGTTGTTGCGTGTGGACGACTAAAACGATTGGAAGAAACTCGAGTACTTAGTTGCAATTGTTCGTGGAATCATTACATTTTGCACCATTTCTCTTACGCACGTAGGTACTTATTAACTTTGTAAGATATTACGTATTATATTATTTTTTACACAAACATGCTGCTCGTCAATGAGATTAGGGATCTTAAAGCTGATATGACTTACTTCCGTTTGAATAATATGTGACCTCAATAATATTCCCCTATTATTGGTCCGTTACCTTGTAAAGCTATAATGTAGGCAGCAAGCCGCGGCCGCCTGCCAGGTGCTAATGCCCCCAATTACTAATTGACCGTGATGTGCCCCATTAGCTGTAATGCCGCGACTGCAACAATAGGTACTAGTGCGTGCCGCCAGTTTCGACCTCGTTATCCGAATGAGAATGTATATCTTTTTCTGTACCAATTTTTATCAATACCCATTCAATAGTTTTACGTGAAAGAGTAACACATCAATGCAAACATTCGTGTTTAAGTATTAGTACTGTTGACGACACAGACCTTAATATACTCGTGGAGCCCC